TTTTTCCTTAGGTTTTTAGGTTTTGAGTTGGTTGATTGGTTGGGCTTTTTCTATTTCGCCCGCGAACTGAGTTAAACCAGGTGCCGATCTGAAAACGGACCTGGACTCGAGTCGAGTCGAGTCGCATCGCTGAGCTCCGTGGCGCTCTCCACGCTGCCCACGGCGGACACGCTGTTCTTCCCCTTCGGGGAGTACAAGATGGCAGGGGCCCAAGGCCCAAGCGACAGCTACAGTGAAGCTACCCTCCCGACGAGCATGGGTTTGTGCAGAGAGCAGCCCCACCGGGTCATGCAGGATGTCCGGTTCTTGTTTGTTGTGTTTGGCTTGTTTTGTTTCTACTCCCTGACGACGGTGAAGGATCTGGGTTTGTCAATACCGATCCGCAAGATCGTTTTGCCGTTGCCAGACAGTCCTCCCTTGTTGCAGAGGTTCCCACGGGGCCGTTCCCACGGGGCCCTTGTTCCTGATTAATGGGGGGGGCATTTGACCGCTGGAGATTGTGGCTCCATTTGGCCAATGAGCAGTAAAAAGCATGGCTCGAAAAATGGAATTGCCTCACCCTACCCCCCAGGGACAGATGCGATCTCATAGCCGTTCCTGATAATCAAGACTAATTTGGGCAGAAATCGGGGCGGTTTCCCTGCCAAATGTTCCCGATCGATTCGGTCGAGTGGAGACTCTGCGGTTTCCCCAAAGGTTTTCCTCTGATTGATGGGGTCTTTGCAACATCTCTCGTCAAATCCACATTGGATGTTTGGCAAAGTATGGGAGCTGTCGTTTTCACCTCCCAAAAGGCTAAAAGGCACAACTGGAATGAGCGCCCAGTTCCCCCCACTGCGGATACGCTCGCCGGTCCATAGGACAGGGTGTGAGGAACCAAACCAGCTCTCTTCATGTTCCAATGTCGCATCTTTGCAAGCAACTGGTTGGAGTTCGGTAGATGCTGGGGGTCTTATATATTTGGTTGCCCATTTTGAGACAGACCCCGTTTGGGTGTCTTTGTCGGAGCTGGTATGCGTTTTGAGGTTTTGTGTCGCAGGAAACCAAACTAATTATCATCCATTTGCTTGAGCTCCGACCCCAATACTTCCTAAAGCTCTCTAGGATTGTTGGATGAAGGGCAAGGCCAGGTGAGGCCAGGTGAGAGTTTGCATAGCCCATCCGGGCCAAGACCTGCGCGCTCTTCTCGCGGCCGTTTGCAGCTTTCAGGCAACGCGGTCAACTGAGAGCCCAACCAACCGCGAATCTTCAGGAGCAACACGTGGTTCCCATGATGCAACGGGTGCCTTTGCAGATGCAAAAATGCGGCCCCCCCACCATTCTGGGGGCGGGTCTGACATTTGCCACCCCATTTGTCAGGAACATTGCATTTTTCAACTGAAAACCTTTCATCTTACCCCCCCCCCCCCGGTCCGAAGGCCAAGAAAGATTGGCACTGAAGCACGGATGGGAAGTCCGACCAGGCTCTAATTTTTGGTTTGGGACCGTTCAAGGCATCAACTGAAACCCTTTGGGGTGAATGGACTTCGATTCCACTTGTGTGCCTCGCGTGTCGCACTCTCATGCGCCCTGGAAAGCCCCGACGAGTGGTGGACCTTCGCGCGTCGCTGCTCGCCAAAATTTGGCCCAGAGAGTGGAGGGGCGGTGATGTCTGGGGGGTGTTTGCAAGGGTCCCGCAAAGTTGGCTTCCCCTTTGAGTTTCCCTTGAAATCTAAAAAAAGCAAAACGACTCATGGGCACACACACATTTCACGCCCATTTCTCCGCTATGGCCATGCAAGAGCCACTGGAGGGGTGAAATCCGAAGCTGGCTTGAAGCTTTTGACCTCCGCTCCGTTCAGATATACAAAACATGTGCAATCCGACCTTCCCACCACGTCAGAAGGAACCTGACAAGAGGACTTCATTAACGACCTGCTGGATTCCATGAGCTCATTGAGCCTGCATTTTGCCAAGGCTTCAAAAAGGCCAACCTTGTTTTGGGCCTGGCCTGTCACTGGGCAGATTTTTTCCGCTGGTATGGGACCCGGGAAATCCCTGGAGCCATCTGCCACGACAGGCTTGTAAGAGACTAAGCATGTTTACGCCGGATTCATCGAGGCCATAAGGCCGTGCCCTGCATCAAAATCGAGGCGTGTTCATTGGATGAAGTTTCACTGGTTGCCTTTTTCCAAAGTGATAGAGCCCTGCTCCCTTCAAGGATGCTAGCTGGGGCCAATCAGAAAGTCACCCGACATTCCTCAGAGGACTTCCCTTATAAAGCAGGCAGTTTTGGATGGGTTACAGCCCAGTGGGTCCATGTCCCTGTATTGTAGGGAACCAAGGGAACCAAGGGAACCAAGGGAACCACCCTTGAAAAACAACAGCAAGATATCACAACTGGGATCCACTGGGCAGCATAAAGCAGGTGGTTTTGGGATGTCAACCGGAGTCATCCAGCAGTACATCAGCCTCCCACCGCTCGCTTTCGGGGGGCGGTTTAGGCGGTCTACAGCGAGCTTGGGCCAACTCTCCCCTCAGGCGCGCTCAACGGAGGGGGCAGGTGGAATCAGCCCTCTTCTGGGCCGCAACTACTGAACCTTCGGGTGTGTCGTCGTTTTGTTGTTTTTTTCCTTCCAGGGGGGGGGGCACCCTTTTGTTGTTCTTATGTTGTTTCTGTTGTTGTTTTTTGGGCGAAAATGCATGGTGGTCACGTCATGTCACGTCCATGTCAAACGTGGGGGAAAACCCCCTTTGAGCCCCAACTAGCCCGGATAAACTTTGAAGATGCCGCTTTAACGGCCTGTGAACGTTGTCAGGCAAATGTGCGGCTGTCCGTTTGGTTAAGAGGCACCACCCTCTTTGCGAATGTTTTGAGAGGAGGTGATATTTGATTCGGTTGTCTGTTTTTGTGGGCTTTGTGTGGAGAGAAAGTGCAAGTAAGCCCAAATGGGATTGTTTAGGAGGGAAGCAGGCGAAAACCAACCTCCGCAGTGCAAATCGTTGTTTCCCGGTTGTTCATTGGCATCCTTTAAGGTGAAGTTACTGCTATTTACGTGTCATTTTGTTTTAAAGGGGTGAATGCGAATGTGTTGCGATTTGCGACTTTGCGAGGGCAATTGTCAGACCACTAGCCCAGTAGCACCAACTGAGACTTTTGTGTATTCCATGTTCATTTGTTTCCCAGCCACTCACTTCCCGAGTTCCTGCACTTCAAGCTTTTTGGGAATGCCAATGTAGCGGCAACCACACACCTTTTTTTTCTGGCAAATCCACTCAGGAATTGGGGTCAATGTGGTTGGTTCCCTTTCTCTGTTGCCCAGTGGTGCCCTTTTTCCTTTTCTGGGGAAGGGTTCCAAGTCCTTTGAACTCAAGCAACAGAAAAAAGGGTGCCGATCCTTTCTTCCCACGGAAATCCACTGGGCATTTGAGGATTTACGCGCTGGATAAAGAACAACAGCTCTGACTAGAAAGACTATCATATAGACTACAGAAAAAAATGGTTCCCTTATTCTAACCTCCCCACTGGAGGACATAGTTTTGTTCTTTCCCTTTTTACCAGACTTGCTTTTCGTGGCCCACCGGAACCGCCAGGCGAGGGACGGCAGCCCAAGCGCCCCGTGCTCGCTTGCTTCGACCCAAAGCACGGGGTCAAAAACAGGGATCTGGGTGCGCGTGTTTTTTGAGGGAAATCCCGGCACCCCGTTTTTGTTTGTGGGATTTCTAACAGAAACCAAGAGGAACGCAATCTAAACGAGGTGTCCGCTCAAAAAGACACGGCCATATTGCCCCGAGATTGCGAGATGATTTCAACTTGATTTCAATTGCGAGTTCCGATTTTAAGGCTGAGGGTCCGGGTATGCACTTTGCTTGTTTCTCCTAACGTTGCAGCACGGAAGTTGGCAAAACAGAAAAGAACTTTCCGGCGCTCGAGAAAAAACAGCTCCCTGACCGTGTTTCATCTCAAGACAGGACAGGCTTCCGACCATGCGCCTTCGCGAGGGCGTTTGCTTGGGGCTGCAAGCTCCCCACAACGGTAGGGGTGCCGATTGGAGAACTCACATGAAACCTGACAGGAAGGACACTGGCAATGCCACCCTACCAGCGAGCAACACGCAAAGAAGCATCGCTGTTCCATTCAAAGCGTGAGATGGCCCTGGTGACCCTTCCAGCGCTAGTCCCAAAAGAGTCCGCCACTTTGACAACCCGCCTCAGTGGACACACTCTTGGTCGAGTGGCCGGGTTGGGACTAACAGGCAAGGGTCATCCTCGCGACAGTGCCACACAGTTTCTTACTTGCCTTGCAGCAGCAACCCGCCCAAGCTGACGTTCAAATTGCCCAATGGGCGAAATGGGTTGCCCCGCACCTCAGAACAATGACTACAGCATAGAACTTTGCGTCCTTTTGCTGCTCAATTTGGGGCCAAGTTCCTTATGCCTTGTGACAGGGTTTTGGACCCGGCCAAGAATTCAATGGCAGGGCAAGATGCTGATGAAGCTTGGAAGGCGGCGAGGCGCATTTGCCAGGTTGATGAAGCAAAAAAAACCCTTCGTTTTAGAGGACTCTGACAGAATTGGGTTCCATGTTGTATTTGAATCATTTGAAGCGTTTTGCCGTGTGCTTTTGCCATTCTAGACAGAAGGCTTGCATGTTGTACTTGCAGAGAATCGTATTGCCGTGTGTTTTTGCCACAGCATCACAAAGCTTGGTTCCTGCAAACTGTGTCCCATTGCCACCTAAGCGGGGGTTTGGAGGCCAGCGGGGGGCCAGATGCGCTTGCAACTCCGGTTTCGTGAGTTCCCCTGAAAAAACATGGGCACTGGAAACTACCTTCGGCTTCCGAATCGACAGGCTGGAAGGCCTCAGTCTCAAGTGGCCTGGCCACTTTGACTGATCAGAAAAGCGTTTTTTTGGGGCTTGGTTCAATTTGGAATAGTTTCCCACCAAAGTTGAAGTCCAAATATCCCAAATTCCCTAATATCTTCAAATGATTCCAGGCCTTGACAATCTCTCACAAGTCATGTGGTGTCTTGCCTACCCTGCCGGGAATCGCCGGTTTTCCTGAGGCTTGCGAAGCTCAACACGCGGCAGGGCGCTCGACTGGTCCACTTGCGGCTGGCTGAAGGTGAGAGATACCTTCAGCTTAAGAGACATTTCTGAAGTATCTAACCTTCCAGTTGCTTAAGAAGATGTTTTTGATGTTCCCCTGTTGGTTTTGATAGTCATCTATCACGACTTGTTTTTCTCCAGGGGGCGAAAACGCAGATGGAAGGAAATGGTTCAATGAAGGGGCGAACACGATAAAACCTCCTTCCGCCCGGCAAGGTCGACAAGGCTTTGCAAAACTGGATTTTGGAGGGCCCCCCCGACATTGTTGAGTTAGCTAACTGTTTATGTAGTGGGTTAGTGAGATAGTTATACGAACATATGTGAGTTGATTTTTGTGGATTGCCCCCATCGCCGAATGAGGTAAGCGGGTGGACCTGATTTGGCTCACTGCTATTGACACGGACCAAACAGGCCAGCACTTTTAAGAGGAAACTCTTTTTGGGACATGACCCCCATTTTGGTGTTTGGGGATATGATGCGGGAGTGGATTCAGGGAAGTGAGGCCCAACATGCTGAGGTCGAGTCTTACAAAGGCCGCGCTCTCAGCGCCGTCTCTGAAGAGTCCCTGTCTTTCAAATATGGGTTGTGCGTTTCAAGAGTACCCCTTTTAATCGTTTTAATGTTAGTTTAAAGGCAAACCTCTCGCACATTTTGAGGGGCGCATCCTTTTGGGGGTCTACCGGTTTCTAAGTGAAAACAACAGAGAGACCAGCATGTTCGGTGGGCCGCCTGTGAGGCACTCCCCTTTCTTCACGTTCGACAGCCTCACCTGGGAAGGGTCAAGCTTATGATGCCTTTGTGTTCTGAAATGTGAGAGTGTCTTGTTTGAGGTGCTCCCCTGCAGATTAACGTGTTGTTCCATTTATAGCTCAACTTCTCTCAGGGGTTCCTAAATATTTCTCTCATTCAGACCTCTAGAAGCATCGGCTCAGTGGAACCCACCGGTAAATCGCAACTTGTTTTTGTTGGGGGGGGGGGGGAAGCCTGCTGCCTGCTGAGGTGGGAGGCCCTGACGAGAAGAGTCGCGGCTTCGGAGAGTGCGAGAGAAGCCATCAGGTATTTAAAGACGTGTCCCTTGATTTGGGTGGCCTTTTTGGAGGAAACAGGCTGGTAAAACGTTTGCCTGTGTGTGTGTGGAGGGTACCTATGGTTGTCACGGGCCTCCGAATAGGGTCTCTGATAACCATGGGATCCCCCAATCCCAATATTGGTGCTAAGGATCCTTTTCCCTTGATCTGGGTTGCCTTTTAGGGTACTTGTACCTGTGGTTGTCCTTTTGGGCCTCCAAGGAGGGCACTCCCAAATTCCCAAGGGCTAAGGATCCTTGATGCCTTTTTTTGGGGTCCCCTCTTGGGTGTGGAGGTCTCTGACAACCATGGGATGGGTGCCCGTTGGGGGGTTAAAGGGAACCTGGACCCATTTTTTGGGGTCTACTTTAAGGCATACCCAGAAACCGCTTCTCCACTAGACCCCTTGGATGGTTTTGAAGATGCGAAACAAACGGACGGGGCCCCACATCTTGAGACACAACACCCAACCATCACTGGCCCCCTTGCCGAAACTCACCTATTGGCAACCAAAAGGTGATGCCCGGAAGAGGTTGAATTCGGTTTGGGCGGGGGGAGAGGAGTTGTTGGCTTGGTTGGGGGTTTCAGTTGCTGTTGTTTTCCGTTGTGTTGGCTGTCATGCTTGTTTGTTTGTTGGTGTGTTGTTCCTGGTGGTGTTTGTGCTTCTGGGTGTGTTTGGGCGTGCGGTTGCATTTGTTTGTTTTTTTGGTGTGCGGTTGCATTTGTGTTTTTTTGTGTGATGGTGTGGGTGTGCATGGGTGTGCGGGCCTAGGGGGTTGCAGGGTTGCAGTTTGCGTTTTGGCACGTGGATGAGGGGAAGAAGACACACTCCTGGACGAAAAGTCAGGCAACTGCGCACTCACAGCCCCTTTTTTTTGATATATATATATATATACACATATATATATATATATATAATATTTTTATATACATATTATATACACAGATCTCCCCTTTTGGGGTAATTAGTGAGCCTTGTCAAACATCAGCTTTTGGGCCACCGGTGTCACAGGGCCAAGACCGCGGAGCCACCGAGGCCGAGGCGCGAGCTCCTTCCCCGAGCTCGCTGGCCGGGCGGAGGCAACGGCGAGTTTTGAGGCCTGCGAGCCTCAAGTTGACCTTGAGCTGTTCCTGGCATGTCTTTTGGGTATTTTAGTTTTTTGGATCTGGTCATTTTTTACTGGTCTGCAAAAAACCGAGATTCTTTTTTGCTACCATACCAAGAGTGGAGATGTTTACCTTAAGCTGTATTTTGTGGGTTGGTTTCATGCTTGGGCCTTTTTTCCCGCCCAGCCAGTGGACACACTTTACAGGCTTTGTCCTTGAAGGCTCTCCAACTTTATTTTAGTGGTGGCCCAAAAAGTGTACACTTTTTTTTCGGGCTGGTCACTGGCCAGGAAAACCAAGAAGGAGAACCGACATCCATTTTCGGGGGCCAACATTCTTGCTGGTGCGATAGGCAGGGAATGAGAAATGGAAGGAACCCTAGAAAAACCATCCAACTGGGGCTTTCCTTTAAAAGAATTGTCATGGGTTCATTCCCTCATTCCGTACTGAGCACCATCAAGTTTGCCTCTTTTGGCGGCGTTTGCGGTAAGGTGCTTTGTGGAGGGATCAGCTTCATGCCCTCCAACATGGAAGCCCAGAGGCCTGTCCAAATGGGATGTTTACTTCCATGCGGTCCAGGGGGTTGAACACGTTCGGATTTTCATTGGGACTTCCTTCCCAAGTCCAAGAGTTTCCAGCGGGCCAGGGGAAAAGGGGGTACGGGCGAATCTTTCAGGCGTTGAGAAACCAGGATCGAAGGAAAGGACCCTGGGTGAACATTCCACGGGCATCCACGGGCTGTGGGGTTTGGGCGCCATGGTAGGCTGCCAAGTTGAAAAATCCGGAGCGCAATTGGGTCCAAGCCGAGAACACCGGAGCTAGACGCTGTGCATTCCGCGATCAGCTTTCCGCCATGGAGACTTCTCGCAAGCAGATGGCCTCTCCTTTGTTGCAGGGAGGGCAGACGTTGATGTTTCTTGGCTGAACTATGCACTGCAACCCCAAGTCCCAACGTGGAACCCAGGAACTCACCTGAATTTACAGGAGTACCAAACATCCACAAGGAGAGCTTTTCAGCTTGATGCGAGGTCCCCAGGTCTAAAAATATGTTGGTTGGGTGATGTAAAATATAAAGCATCTCTGCTTGATTGCCATGGTTTCTGTTTGGGTGGTTTCAACCAAGTTTCACCTTTCTGGACGCTCATGTTAGAATTCCATGCTGAGCACCTTCTGAAAAAATGACCCCCTTTTGACATTGCCAGAATCCAACCTCAAAGGGTACCAAGGGAGCATTTGGGCACGCATCACTTTTGGAAAGGCTAATTTGGAGTAGGAGCCATTTGATGTTCTTAGACCTCCTGATGGACCACCACCCATTTCCCGAGAAAATCTCCAAAATGTGCTGGCTGTGGCTATTGGCTGAGTATGCTAGCTGATTGTTACCCTCCCACCAATGAATGCGGAGCCTGACACGGGGGCTCCCCTCAAGGAACATGGTCCGACCCAGGACCCCCCGAACGTCAGGTTCCACGTGAAATGGTGTCACCATGCGCATTCAGCGGTTTTGGCGGATCGGAGCTCAGCCAAGGCTCCGCGTGAAGGGCATGAAGTGCAACTCCTGTGGCTGGGTGCTAGAAAGCCGGATTTGTTGATACCCCCCTTTCCCCCTGTGTTTGGACTCTCTCCGGAATAGATCCAGGGACCAAATCAACGACCTCTACTACCACAGCACCCCCCCCCCCCCACCCGGCCCACAGGAACCCAGAAGGAGGAGGCCGCTTTCTAGGTCTTTCCATACATGTTTTCCTGACCTGCAAGGGGCAAACGCATAGGGACGGATGGTTCGGCAGGAAAAGTGGGAACCAGTTGATCGTTCCCAGCCGTTGTTTCAATTTTTTTTATTTTTATTTTTGCAATACATGTCCCATGGTGTCCATTGATGATTGTTTCTTCTTGCTTCTGCCTCTTCAAATGGGATAAGACCCACCCCCTATTTGTCCCCATTCAAGTATTCAGACCCTTCGTATTGAATCAACATGGCCTTCCGAGATGGATGTCAATTGGTAGGCACTGCAGGTGCAAATGCGCCATCTTGGGAGGTGCTGGTGTTTGGTTTTCAGTTTCCCCAGGGCTGTCTGTTGCAAAGCGGTACAAATGGGCCACCCTTAGGGTTTCATTTGCCCCAGAGCCTCTTTTTTTTGCAAACCGGTACAAATGGGGTGCTGGTTTCTGCTTGTTTTCAAAACTGGTGTTTGCTTTATATTTTCCCCAGAGCCGCTTTTAACCAAGAAAAAACAACAACGGCCAGGTGTGAAGAAGATCAAGGAGGCCCTCCAGGACCTGCCCTGGCCAGAAGTTGCAGCGGTGGAAGTGGACCTGGCCAAGGCCTTGGTGGAAGTGCGCCTCCTGGAGGATCGATGAATTCGCGTGGGGATCATAGGTGTCCTTTTTGGTTGCTTTGGTTAAACAAAGGACACCAAAAGTACACAAAATGGAACCTAAACAAAAACTAAACAAAAAATGGTACCTTTTGTTTTGGATGTTTTTTGATGGCTGTGGGTCAAAAATAGGGTAACCCCAAAATGGCTTGCCCTGGCAAATGGAACCAAGGACATTCAAACCTGCGGTCCGGCCCCGGGTGGCTCAAGTTGTTGGGAAGCTTTTTACATTTTTGCATATTGTGGTGAACTGCTAACATTCTACTTTCTGCTCCCCTTCCAACGTCAACCAAGTAATGTTGACCCCATATTAGTCAACCAACCTGTTTATTAGTAGGTGTCCTGGGTGAAATGTGGGGAATCAGACCACTTTTGCAGGGGAGATCAAACTTTGGCAATGATGTGTTTTTAAGTTTGCTTGAAAACAAACCACCAAACTTGGGGGAAACCCGAGCCTCAACCAAAAGACGGGCACCCAGTGATTTGTGAAGCCCGGATTTCATTCTCTACCCCGCTCCTGGCTTCCCAGCAAAGGGGTCAGAGAGCGGACGGGCGATGGCGCCTGCCGTTGCTTTCCGAGTTGCTTCCCAAGAATTAGCTCCCCTTTTTGATGTGTTGCTTTGTTGGTTCCCTTTGTTTTCCACTAACCAAGCAAAAAAGATCATTTTTTGATGGGGTCCTAAGTCCAGCCAAGTTTCAAAGGATCCAGTGAAGGTCCGGTCCTTTCCTTGGGGATTCTTGCAGCTGGATTGCAAAATTGGATGATATTGGTAAAGCTAGGTGGCCTTTTTGTTGTTGATGTTTTTGTAGAACAATGCCCGGGTGATTCCTCTTTGGCCCAGTTGTTTCACAATCTACCAGGGAAAGCCGTCCGCGTTTCCTCAAAGGACACCTATGTCAGGGTCACACCTCGTTGGAGCACTTTTGGTATCCAGGAAGTTTTCCACGCGTCGCCCGAGAAGCCCCTCTCTGGCCGGATGTCAAAAGATCTGCTAAATGAGCTTCTTCGAGGTATTTATGCGGGGGGACCATTTGACAGGTTGGCTTGGTCATGCCTTTTGGGATGGAACCCGGTTCAGAAACCACGAGAAACTCGATAGCAACAGACACGCGAAGCCTCCAGAAAGCGGATAAACCGTAACATGGCCTCTTGTCCACTAACATGGAACATGGTCTTCTACTTAGCTAAGTAGGCAGCCGAAACGTCAGGTTCCATGGTGGTGGACCGCGGCAGAACCCGAAGAAACCCCCCACCGACTCGAATCGACAGGAGCCACAGCACAAGGCCTATGAGGCAATCTCGCAAGCCATCGAAGGCTTAGGCATGGAGGTATCCCAGTACGACATCGAGGCGCCGAAACTCGGTCGTCCAACTGGGTGTGTGTTTTTTTGTGTGTTTTTTCTTTTGTTTCTCTCTTCTTTATTTTCCTCAGGGACCTCCCAACATGGCTTCGGTGTTCCTTGTGGTTTTGGTCCCCCTGTGAAACTATACCAAAAAGCAAACGCTCGGTTACGGGCCAGTGCTCCTTTCAAGTGATCGAAGTAGTCATGTGGCTGGCCTTTTCACGAAAAGTGGTTGAGCTCAACAAGTGCCCCTGAAGATCAGTAGGCGCCTTTGTCGTTGCTGAGTCGGACCTCACCACTTTCAGTCCTCGGGGCCTCACCACTTTCAGTCCTCGGGGCCTAGAATTGGGGGGGTCCCCCAAAATTTCCCTTTTTGGCCCATGAAAGGGGAGTGTCCCTTAAGGGTGATGCTTTAAGGGGGAAATATAGGGAGCCCTGTTTAATTGGGGGGTAGCAACCTCTCTGGACGCACCGGCGGAGAGAGAGAGAGAGAGAGAGAGAGAGAGAGAGAGCAAGCAACAAAAGCAACGAGGAAAGAGGCAGAAGCTCCGCGGGTAGTGGACTTCGAAGTGCGGGGCATGAGCTGCGGGTCCTGCGTGAGGAAGATCGAACAGGCGGTGAAGAGTCTGCCAGACGTCCTGGATGTGAGCGTGTAGCCTGGCCGAGTCCTCTTAGAATTCCAAGGTCGCATGGATTGTTTTGGTTTTCATACAGGCTTTGATACATAGGCATTCAATGAAACCCTTCAGGGACGTCAGACTTGGGAGGTTCATGTCCACCCATTTTGAGGCTTTGCCGAAAATCATAGCCGCATGGCTCCCTAGATTTCCCCTATTGGGTGATTTAAGCATCACCCTGTAGACCCATTTGACGGGCAACTTGGTGCATAGCACAATTTTAAGGATAATCCCGAGAGCTGACAAAACGGGGATGTACCCTCCACCAATGAGCATGGAACCTGACAGGGTCCTGAAGCCCGTTTTCCTTTTAAAGGGCCCCCCCCTGTCAGGTTCCATTTGAATTGGTGGGTATATTTGCTGGTTTGTCCAGAGCCCACATGGTTGATTTCGCCCTTCGGCTTCCCGAAAAGGAACGCACCTGTGCCGAAAGCCGGAGTTATCCATCCCTTTGTGGCGGTTTTTCGGAGCTCCAATTGGGGACAGCCGCCAGCCCCCCTAAGGGCGTGGCAGGCCTTTTTCAGGCAAGTTGCTTGGTGCGCCTGGATGTGTTGAGGAGAAAGTCTTCGTGTCCTCGTTTTTCCTGGCGCGAGCTCAGGAACCTCCTATCAGAATCAGCACAGGTGCAAGTCCGGCCAGGCGCGGATGCGAAGGTGATCGTTCCTGCCATCCAGCAGGCCATTGCAGCAGTGGGCTACCAGGCAACTTGACTACTATTGGCTTAGATCTTTAGACTTTAACTTTTGCACTAAAACCCCCTCAAAAAATAAAGGTTTTGCAGGGGGGATCAGCAGCAACCAAGGCAAGCCCTACGAACTTAGCAACGGAAGCCTCCGATGCCGATCTGACCCTGGAAGTGCTTGGCATGACCTGCGGCTCCTGCGCTTCTACAGTGACTTGGACCGCACAAAGGGCTTCAACTCGCCATAGTATTCTCGCCAACGTGCGGGAAAGAAGCCTTTTCGAAGCCCCCGCTTCTTCCGGCCCAGAGCATGTGTTGTTATTAGTAATTAGTAATTAGGGGGTCTCCAGTTCCGGGATTGGGGTCTCGTTTCTTGTTCACTTTGGGCGGGGTCCGGTCATGGGCAGCCAATAACAAGCTCCAGAACCAGAACCATATGTTTTAAGTAAAGTATTCACGCAACTCAATCAAGGTCACCGTTTCCTCAAACAGGGACAAGCTGCCGGACAGGGAGCTGGGGGATAGAGTCAGGGGAAAAAGGCTGGTTTACGAACCATTGGTGTCTATCTGTTTGTGTTGGCAAAGTACTTCCCCCTTTCCGGACATGGAACAAGTTCATGGATGAAGGTTTTCCAGTAAGGGATTTACATGGAAATCGCAATCTGTCCTTTTGTCAAACATAGTGCTTGCGAACTGAGGGCACAGGCTCCCCGAATACGATTGGAGAAGCGGTCGGTGGGAGAAATCGCTAGTTTAGTATTGCATTTCAAATTGGCGGCTTATTGTATGATTTTGTGTTAAACCCCGCCGGGGTTTTGACAAACATCATGTTGCTCGGGAAACCTGTATTATTGGGGCAGTGATTCATTGGGTGCCACTGTTGCCCATAATGCTTTAGCTATTAATCACTCCCCCTCCTTCAGTTTATACATCTTGCTATAGCGGTAAACAACAAGCTTCAACGACAACTCCCAGGCGAAAAATTCCCAAGCATGCTGTGGATGGACGAAATCCTGCAGCCCCTCAACCCTCATTTCTGATGAGCCCCCTGTTTCTTTTGTTTACCAATGGACGTTCTGGTTTCAACCACGGGTTCCAGGTGGCGCGAAATGGATTTTGTCCATCCACCGTATCCCAAGGGATGGACCTCTTGGCTTGAGGTTGAGCGCGCTCTTCAAGGCACCGGACTCGTCCAGCAGGCCTTCGTGACTGAGCTGCCAAAGTTCAGGTTGGTAACGCCCCAATTGGTGCGAATTGGTTTGGAGCCCGGTGCTTTGGTGGTGAAGGGATGGCTTCCCACTAATTGGTGGTTTGGATTGGTTTGGGGAATCCTCAAATGTTGACCCCAGATTACTCAACCAACCTGTTTATAAAATTCGGGGGCTGGCTTTTGGCCCCTAAAGTGGTCTGATTCCCCACTAGGACACCCACCTATTTTTTTAAACTGGGGTTGATGAATATGTGGTCCGCGTTTCTTAGTTGGTGGTTGGTGGTAGGGGACCCCCTCCATTTCACCAAGCCGATCCAAGTCACCAATTGGACGTAACGTGAAAAAGAAAAGTTTCATGGAGCAACTGGTGCAAATTAACCCCACGAATGTGCAAATTAAGGAAGCCAAGGAGTGTAAACAGCCGGTGCTTAAAGAAAATGGTTTAAACAGGCTGTTGGCTGAGCGTCATGTGCAAGTCCCCCACCTCAGAACAATGTCCCAGGTCGCCCGTTTGCAAAGAGAATTGGGGCGGGGGTATGCGGGGGGTGTATTCTCCTGTTTGGGGGAAGAGTCGAGAAGACTTGGGCAGCTGATTCCTGGAATGGCACTCATGGTTCTGATTCTTTTGTTGTTGGGGAAGAGTAGCATTGGGCAGAACTAGTAACTATGTCCCAACAAAGTGGGGTTTCCAAAATGGGCGGCTTCCCTCTATGTCCCTGTAAAACTGCAACACAAAAGGTACCCTCTACCAATCAACGCACCCACGTGAGCTTGCCCGAAGGAGTTTGAAATTGAAATTGATCACCTGACCTTCTGACAAATGCACCTGTACCCATATGTGTACCGGACCTCCCTTCAACCCTGTTTGGGGATGTCTGTGGTAGGGGGGTATGCTTGGAATTGGGTTATATTTGCCCAACCCCTCCCCACTCACAATGTATGGAAGGGGGCATGCCCCCAAGAAAGGGAGTTGTCCAACCATGTTCAATGTATGACAGGGCCAACACGTGCTTCCAGTTGGGGTGGGGATGGGCCCAAACTGTGATCCCCCATTCAAATCTGCGACGCAAATGGCGTTTGAGTTTTCTTGTGAGGGTATAACCCGTCCTGTCAGGGGAACCATGTGCTACAATCACACCCTGCTTGCACTTGGGGTTGGATTGGGTGCGAATCCTTAAGTAGACCACTCTTTGATCAACATCCCATAGCTTAGGTCGCGCTGACTGGTAGGTCTCGAATCCAGTGACTTGCTGAGAACCTCGCAACGGGCAACTGTCAAGGGCCATCCGATTTACAACCACCAGCCATAGCATAGTACGTTCTCGTTATATTGGCTCGGGAGTAGGGGGATTTTTTTCGGAAAGTGGGAGGCCCTGAAAGCTGCAAAGCAACATTCAGGAACCTTTTTCTGGGAGACCGGGTGTTGGTGGGAATGTGATTTTAACACGAAAAATGCGACTAAAGCTACATCCCAGGGAGTACCCCTTCGGTTTTTTTGGGGAAGTTGGGGGGTGGGTGGATCTAAGGTGAACCTCCTGGCGGAGACGGCCTCGGTGCGGCTGAAGTCGGGAGTCTCCGCGAACGCGGTGGAGGAGCTGAAGGAGGCGGTGGAGTCTGCCGGGCATCTTGGCATGGGGGGGGGGAGGTTGGAGGCGTGGCAGGTGGGGTTTTTGGATACTGGCAACCTCCTTGGGGTGTCCGGTTGTCATAGGGTTTGGCGGGGAGGGGGTCGTAAGAAAATCATGCCACCAAAAAGCGAAACAACAGGGGCAACTTGCAATCTCGAAATCGGAGCATTTTTGTCCCTACCTCCAAAAGATCTTCAACATCGGGATCATTTTAGTTGGGGGTCTCAAGGAAAGTGACTGCTCATCGATGAGGAAGGTTGACTCCCCTCTCTTTTCAAGCATCGTTGTCAAAGGCCAGCTCTTTTGTTGTGTGTTTGTGAGATGTTCTGGAAAAATTGCGCCCTGAATTCAGAATGGAGAAACTACCTGTAGCCAGATGGGATCTTCTGCAGCTCCTTCTGTAGATTGTCCAGACTTCCTGTTGGTTTTCCAGCATTTTGAGGACTTGGCTTGGCTAAGGCACCTTGGTCTCTTAGGCCATTGGCCCATGTCGTCTTACTGAGGTACTCCGTGGCACTCAAAACAGCGGAGGTTGGAGAGGAAGAGGAGATCTTGCTGGCCGCTTCTTTCCCAGCCCAGGAAGGGACGTTGGGGCCGTAAGTTCTCGACTTTTCTTTTTGACGGACCTTTTGCCTCTCCGCTCCTTTGGATTCCTTCATTTCCTCCTCTTAATCATCAAGCAGTTCACTAGGGTTTCCCCCATTTCCCTTCTTGGCACCGAAAGTGCCCCTACTTTACTTTTTTTTCCATTTGCTTTGGTATCTTTGAAAGTGGCGATGGTTTCAGCGAGTTGCCCACCAGCGAGTTGCCCCACTTGGGAGCTCCAGTGACCCAGACGCGACGCCGCGCAGGCGGACCTGGAGTCCCGCAGCTCGGTGCTCGCGCGCGCGGCCGCGGAGCTGCGGCGCTGGGCCGCGGTGGTGGCGGTGGTGCCGAATGTGAGCTCCGAGGTGCAGAAGTCGGCAGGTCAAGTGAAGGGCAAATGGACCTGCCATGGGGTTTTGGAGGGTGGGGTTGGGGGTTGGGGGTTGGGGGTTGGGGGTTGGGGGTTGGGGGTTGGGGGTTGGGGGTTGGGGGGGGGTTGGGGGTTGGGGGTTGGGGGTTGGGGGTTGGGGGTTGGGGGTTGGGGGGTGGGGGTTGGGGGTTGGGGGTTGGGGGTTGGGGGTTGGGGGTTGGGGGTTGGGGGTTGGGGGTTGGGGGTTGGGGGTTGGGGGTTGGGGGTTGGGGGAGTTAGGGTTAGGTGTAGGTCTTAGGTCGTTGGATTCTTAGGGTTGGGGAGTTGGGGGTTGGGGAGTTGGGAGTTGGGGGTTGGGGTTGGGGGAGTTAGGGGGGTTGGGAGTTGGGGGTTAGAGGGTTGGGGTTGGGGGGGTTAGAGGTTGGGGGTTGGGAGTTGGGGGTTGGGGGTTGGGGTTAGGGTTAGAGGTTGGGGTTGGGGTTAGGGGTTGGGGTTGGGGTTAGGGGTTGGGGTTGGGGTTGGGGGTTGGGGTTGGGGGTTGGGGGGGTTGGGGGTTGGGGTTGAGGGGTTGGGGGTTGGGGTTGGGGTTAGGGGGTTGGGGTTAAGGGTTGGGGGTTAGGGGGAGTTGGGGGTTAGGGTTAGGGGTTAGGGGTTAGAGGTTAGGGGTTGGGGTTAGGGGGTTAGGGAGTTAGGGGGTTAGGGGGGGGGGTTGGGGGTTGGGGTTGGGGTTGAGGTTGGGGAGGTTGAGGTTGGGGTTGGGGGTTGGGGGTTGGGGAGTTGGGGGTTGGGGTTAGGGGTTGGGGTTAGGGGTTGGGAGTTGGGGTTGGGGGTTGGGGTTGGGGGTTGGGGGTTGGGGGTTGGGGGTTGGGGGTTGGGGTTGGGGTTGAGGGGAGTTCAGGGGTTGGGGTTGGGGTTGGGGGTTGGGGGTTGGGGGTTAGGGTTTGGGGTTGGGGTTGGGGGTTGGGGGTTGGGAGGTTGGGGTTGGGGTTGGGGGTTGGGGGTTGGGGGTTGGGGGTTAGGGGTTAGGGGGTTGGGGTTGGGGTTGGGGTTAAGGGGTTAGGGGTTGGGGGTTGGGGGTTGGGGTTGGGGTTGGGGGTTAGAGGTTGGGGGTTGGGGGTTGGGGGTTGGGGTTGGGGGTTGGGGGTTGGGGTTAGGGGGTTGGGGTTGGGGGGTTTTGGTTGAGGTTGGGGTTAGGGAGTTGGGGTGGGGGTTGGGGTTGGGGGTTGGGGTTGGGAGGTTGGGGTTGGGTTTGGGGGTTGGGGGGTTAGGGTTGGGGTTGGGGGTTGGGGGTTGGGGGTTGGGGGTTGGGGGTTGGGGGTTGGGGGTTGGGGTTGGGGTTGGGGTTGGGGTTGGGGGTTGGGGGGGGGTTGGGGGTTGTTGGGGTTGGGGGTTGGGGGTTGGGGGTTGGGTTGGGGGTTGGGGGTTGGGGGTTGGGGGTTGGGGGTTGGGGGTTGGGGGTTGGGGGTTGGGGGTTGGGGGTTGGGGGTTGGGGGTTGGGGGTTGGGGGTTGGGGGTTGGTTTAGGTGATTGTTGTGGGGGTGGGGCGGGGGGTTCTGGGGGGTTATGGGTGTTGTGGGGGGTTATGGGACCGGGTCGACATAAGAAACCATGGTTTGGAACCAAGGACCTGCCAAAAGGCCGTGACCGGGTTTCTGCTGAAAGGGTCCCTACGTCAAGAACGCAGCGAGTAGCTCAGTGCACAGTCACGGGGAGGCACCTGTGTGGTTCCTTTGATTCCCTACGTGTGATTCGGCAACCAAAGGAAGCAGCCATGTTCATTTACATCAGTTTGGTTCAACATAGATTCCACTGTTTCCGTTCGGCCCAAATGACTTAGCTGCCCTGTAACGGCCGTATTTGGAGTCAGGTGGAGCTTCGAGTTCGGTTCCGCCCAGCAGGGCAGCGAGAGCAGGCGGGGCATGTTTGCTTGTCAAGTTGTGTTTTCAGACAGCGCAAGCCCCCCGAGAGGGCGACTGGGTTCTGTTCCCCACCGCCCCCACCCGCCCGGACTCACCAACCCGGCTGTTTTCACAAATCACGGCCTCAAGGCCTTGTGTGGAGGAAACCCGAGACCAAACGTGAAGGCACCTAGTTGAAAACTAAGAGCTGTTCCTGCCCCTCCCCCCCCCCTAACACACCAGATGCCCAAACCCGTGTTTGATTATTTTGGTCTTTTTCAAGGGTTGCCCGAAAGGGGGGGGTGCGATGACCCACGAGAGAATGGGATGCCTTTCTGCTGTTGCCCGTTTGTGACCCCGTAAGGCAACAGCAAAGGGCAAGGGCAGGTCCAACATTGAAGAACAATTTGGCCCTGTCATTTTGAACCACTCATCGTATCCATCAGATTTGTGTACCCCAGAAATTTGGCCCATTGAGCTTTCTCTGTACCCCAGAAATTATGGCCATTTAGCCTTCCCCCCAAAAATTCTTTCCGATCCATTTAACCGTACCCCCCGGAAAATTTTGGGGTGCCAAAGCCTCCCTCACCTTCTCTGTGTTTCAGATTTGGCTGTCTCGTCAGGTGGTGCGGCAGATGGTTTGGTACCTCGAGGACCTAGGCCTGGAGGTCCGGGCCCAGCAAGCCACCCAGTCCCCGCTGCAGCGAGCGCAGGCCAGGCGCGCAGAGGCGCGGGGGGGGGGGGGGGTTGGCGGTGAAGGGAGCCAGCGGGCGGTGGGGCTGGAAAGAATGGGTGTCTTGTTTGAGGGGATCGAACAGTTGTGGTGTCCTTTTGGTTTCCCATTAAACCACGCAAAAAAAGGAGCGGAGGGTACTGGGGGTACCCTCTAAAAAAAGATACACCCAAATAAGAGGACGCCACAAATGGGGGGACCCTCAAAACAAATTGTGTGTTTGGGTGCACACTGATTGTGAAGGTTCATCTCCACTTCAGAAGCAATTGCTCTTGGGTTTGGGGTTTCGCAACCACAATCTTCATGGCAATTTCGAGCATAGACCCGGCGTGTCCAACGAGCATTGAAACCAAGAAAAGGTTTGTTCCCCCAGTATCTTGAGGCATCGGCCTCTTCAGACAACTGCCTACTTTCTGAATAGAAGGATGCCCGAAGAGAATGTCGCGGAGAAGTGGGGAAGCGATTTTTCCAACTTTTGTGAGCACTTTTTTGCCACCAGCCATGCTAGGCACCGTCTCATCGTAGCTTGACACACCCACTATGACACTTCCCTTTTATCGAGGGTCTGGACATCCCCGAGCCTTCTGCAGGGTACCATGCCTTCTCAAAGAAAGACACGGGGAAATGGAGAGGCTCGGCACCATGGCCCTGGGAAAGCGAGGTGCCCCATTTTGCTCATTGCTGGGTACGCGGTTGTCCCAGGATCACAGTGCCTTGCATTTGTGTTGGGAAGGGGGAGCCCGCGAAATTCGGAGGACGCGAAATTCCAGAGTTCCGATGTCCGGTGGGTTTTCCACTGGCTGCGATGTGTTTTTAACCTTTCGGAGCGCTGAAACTCCTTAGGGAAGCCAGGATAAACTTCCATTGATGCAACTCCTTGGATTAGATAGTGGTTGTATGAACCCCCAGTCCTACTTTTCATGGTTGGACTGCCAGGGGATACATTTGCTTGAAGCAAGCCTCCAGGAAGCACTGCAGTGGCGCAAGAGTTTCTTGGTGGCGTTGGTCTTCACGGTGCCCGTGGTGGTGCTGATGTGGCTTTTGCTGCTCAGTTGCCCAAAGCCGACTTTTAGTTTCGCACTTTCGGTTTTCCCCTTTTTGCCGCCTTTTAGTGAAGGTCCTTTCTTGACGGCTACTGGGTTGGATCTTTAGACTTTAACTTTTTGGGAAATCAAGGGGTTTTCCACTAAACCCACAAAAAGTTAAACTTGTTGCAGAGGGGTCAACAGCAAGCTTTTTTGAGTTACCCTCCCACTTCCATGGCAGCTGTGGGCGGGCACCTGAAAAATCGGTTTCCTCTTGGGGCCATTTCCCAGTCTGCCATGGAAGGTGGGAGAAAGGGTAACATAGGTGTCCTTTTTGGTTGATTTGGTAAACAAGTAGATGGCGCTGGTTTACCCGGTGGCTGAATCATCCACCAGGGCCATCTATTTAACCTCAAAGGACACCTACTGTGGATGGACAAAATCCTGCACCACCTAAGATTCCCCTGGAATGATGATTCCCCCGCAAATGCCAACAAACAATGGGTCAACCATAGTTTCAAAGTGGTGCGAAATGGATTTCGTCCATCCACAGTATGAAGGTTAACCTTTTATTTGACCTATGAAGGTTAACCTTTTCTTCCATTTGCTTCGTTTTACAAAGAATTATCACTCCTGCAAATATGTTTACTTTTTCCAGGGGTCTTAGCGAAATGGAAGTTTTGTTTCTCGGTCCCAAGTGAGGCTGCCCATCAAGGCGGTGGAAGCTGCGCTCATGCTCGGAGGCACGGACCTCGCGGGCATCCTGATGCTCGTGTTGGCCACCCCTGCGGGGGGCCCAGCAAACACCGCCAAAGGGCCCTGGATGGGACGCAACACCTGGCTGTGGCTCAAAATTGAACCACTCAAAAACCGCGTGTTTTAGCTCATGTTTCCATTTACCAAGCTTCTATTTTGGGTACCAATTCTTGACCCACAGCCACATGGAGGCCGCTCAAAAACCGGGATTGGTTTTGAAACCATGATGCGCGGTGTTAGATTTGTTTATGAATATATGTTGTTGCATCTCTAAGCATAGAGCTACAGGAAGTTGGCCAGATATTTTCCGAAACTGGCTTCCTGTGCAATTATTTCTAGGTTTCTTAGACGTTGGAACAACCGAAGAAGGACAGCTTCAAACAACACACCAACATTTTTCTCAATGGCATGTTGGGACGGAGGAATTTGAACAACTATTACTGCATATTACCTATGTGAACCATACCTCTAACTTCACCGAACATTTGATTTTGAGAGCTTGCCTTTGCATATTTGTTCTTCCAACCCTGTTGGTTTAAAAGGAAATCGATTTCACTACTGGCCTTTTTGAATGTCCAGGGGACTCCGCAGAATGGAAGACTTGCGCAAGAAGATCAGGCATCTTTAGTGGTCGTTTGGGGAGAAACCATTGTTTCTTGGAGTTTGCACGGGAAGCATCATTCCAAGGTTTCTTATCACTACTGGAAATCGTTAATTTTACTCAGGAAACTTAAGCAGATGGAGGTCTTCTGTATCTCTGGGACCCAGGTTATTATTTACATGGGAAACCACCCATCCAAACCACGAATTGGAGCGCACCGAAGCTGAGACAACGTGTTCTTTCCGTCTAGGCCCCTTAGTGGTGCCCTTTCACCCTTTTTTGGGGGAGGGTTCCCCTACAAAAACAAGACAAAACCCGAAAACCGAGTTGGTACCAACTTATTCCAACCTCTCTACTGGAGGGCCTAGCTGTTTGTTCTTTTTTGCAAAACAAAGCAAAGCCGCAATATTTAAATTCACCATTCTTGGGTTGGGAAAATGGCCCGGAGAATTCATCCAAAATGGCTGTGTCTTCGATGGATGTGGGGGCAACTTTGAACCATGGTTCAACCACAAAGCTTGAAACAAAAAATGGTAAGCCATGGTTCAAACACTTTGGGTTTTGGACGCCACCTGTTCCACCACACCTGGTGTTGTTATTTTCTTCCATGTGGGAGCAGCTTGAGGTCCAGTTTGTGAGCGGCTGGGTCTTCTACCGCGAAAGCTTCCAGGGCCTGCGCCACCGCAAGCTGGGCATGTCCGCCATGGTGGCCCTAGGCGCGGGCGGTCGCCTCTGTGTGTGTGTGTGTTTTAGCGTGGTTTTTTCAGGGGAAACCCAGGGAACCAAAAGGAACCCACTGTTTTTACAAGCGGTTCGGAAAGGGAAGCCACAAGGAGACCACGGGATTTGGGGGTGTTTTACAGGGAAGCCAGCAGGAAACCACTCATTCATTCTGGGGTCCCCCTATTTTGACACACATACACACACACACACACCATATTTCGGTGAGTAACAGTCAGTTGGCACGTGGACCCCAAAAGAAGTGGCCCACCCTGCAGAGCTTCTTTTTTTGTGTGCTGCCTAGACCCCTTGTTCATAGCCCTGTGAGGGGTGCACACCCTGGTTGGGGAGAGCGCGCTAAGAACATCAAGCATGTTTTTTGGTAAAAAGGTAGGCGCAATCGCCTAAGTCTCACTCCCTGAGTTCTTGGATTCAACTTTGTGGGAAGAAATTGTTTCAGTGGTAAACAGACAGTCTTTTTTAGGAGAGAGAACTCACGAAGTAAGACACCCAGGATTCCAGCCATATTTCCGTTTTTGATGATTGTAAGCATCAGCTTTCGGTTGCTGATTTGAACGGGTATGGGGCGTTTATGGCCCCTCTTTTCATAGGCACTAGTGACTCTAGGCTGCAACAGCTCCGCTTGCGACCCGGCCCTGAATCAGTATACGAAAAGCGGCCATAGGTTTGAGTTGTTTGTTTGTTTGTTTAAGAAACGACCTTATCCCAAATCAGTTGTCCAGCAAACGCTGGAGTTCAGGCATATAGTCATATAGTCATACCTGTGACGGCTTCTTAGCTGGAATACGGGTCCCGAGGGACTCAATTCCAGGCTTCAATTCTCAAATTTACTTTTGAGCGGTTTCTCTTTCGACCCGCCATGTGCAATCCATTATTTGAGGATGTCACTATAAAACCTGCCCGGTGAGACGAGCAAAGCCAACGAGGGGTACTTGAATTGGGGAGCTCTGATTTTATTCCCTTTTCTTCTGATTTGGTTAAGTGACGACTTCCCACCAAAGTCATAGCGGGTATACATCCATATATGTATATATAATATATTATCCATTCCCTGCTCGAATACGCTCATGATAGCATATAGAAATATACCTAGTCATCGAAAAGACACCCTTTCGAACACATGGGTGGGAGCGGGGGAACTGGCTGGCAGGCTATACCTCCGCAAAGATTCCCTAGGGGTGCCGGGATTCGACCCAGTCATGCGCTTTCTTGTCATAAGATGATAAAGACTGATTTCAGAGAGAATCTACCCTCCCATCATGGAACCTCACAGGGCTGGAAGGGAAGTCTGTTTTCCTTGAACTGGACCTTTTGGTGGGTTCCAAGGACCGGAGGGTAAGCCGGTCTTTGGGGAACCGCTCTGCCGCTGGGTTCTGAATTTTCCGGGGACATCGAATTTCTTGGTGAGCTTTCGCGTGGGGGGACCCCAATTTTTCCCGTGTGTGATTGGAAGACTAGGTGAATGGAATTGGGGGACGCCCCTTCCCCTCATGGGGCAGATTCAGACTACTTGGATGTTCAACCCATAGCAAGTAGGTTGTGCCAATGTTCAAAAGTAGCATCACTGGGCTCAGCTGCCTGAAAAATATCAATCTATAAGTCGGTTGAACATCCAAGTACGCACCAGAAGTTTGGGATTGAAAATGGAATTTGCTTTCGTGTAGGAACAAAAATGGCTTGATTCAAAAGAGGTTCCATGTTAGCAGATGGCTGTGGGTCAAAAATGGGGTAACCCCAAAATGGCTTGCCCTGGCAAATGGAGCCCACGACTAAAATCTGCGGTCCAATTCCTGGTGGTTTTATTTTGACCCACAATCAGATGGCGATTCCTGGTGTACCTGGCGGTGTAATCATCTACCGGTACCATCTATTTCCCTCAATGTTGTTGGGAACCATGTTTCCATTTTTGCTTATTGTGGTTTAGTGGTTGAAATCCCTACTTAACTGCTAAGATTTAAATTGTTGTTCCCCTTCCAACGTCAACCAAGTAATGTTGACCCCAGATTAGTCAACCAACCTGTGTATTAGTAGGTGTCCTGGGTGAAATGTGAGAAATCAGACAACTTTTGGAGGGAGATCAAACTTTGGCTGCAGGCCACGTAATTGACTGCAGGCACGTCTGCCGCCTATGCGTCCTCCTGCGTGACCCTGGTGATGAAGCTTTGCCACGACGAGCCAGCAGCCGCCCGGAAAGAACACTGTTGTTTTTGTTATTTGTTTGTTTGTTTGTTTGTTTGTTTGTTTGTTTGTTTGTTTGTTTGTGTGTTTGTTTGTTTGTTTGTTTGTTTGTTTGTTTGTTTGTTTGTTTGTTTGTATGTTTGTTTGTTTGTTTGTTTGTTTGTTTGTGTTGTGGTGTTGTTTGCTTGTGTGTTTTTGTTGGTTTTTTTTGTTTGTTTATTTGTTTGTTTATTGTTTTGGTTGTTTTAGTTTGTTTGTTTTTGTTTGTTGTGTGTTTGCTTGTTATGTGTTGTTTGTTTTTGTTTGTGTGGTTGGTTGTGTGTTTGTTTGCTTGTTTTTTTTTGTTTTGTTTGTTTGTGTGTTTGATCATGTGCCTGATTGTTTGTTTGATTGTTTGTTTGTTTGTTTGTTTGTTTGATTGCTTTTGTGTGTTTGTTCGTTGTTGTGTTTGTTTGTGTTTGTTGTTTGTTTGTGTTTGTTTGGTTGATTGTTTGTTTGTTTGTTTGGTTGGTTGATTGTTTGTTTGATTGTTTTTTTTTGTTTTTGTTTGTTGTTTGTTTGTTTGTTTGTTTGCTTTTGTTTGTTTGCCTGTTTTTGTTGTTTGATTGTTTGTTTGATTGTTTGTTTGATTGTTTGTTTGTGTGTTTTGGTTTGATTGTTTGTTTGTTTCTTTGTTTGTTAGTTGGTTGGTTGGTTGGTTGGTTGGTTGGGTGTGTGTTGTGTTTGTTGTTTGTTTGTTTGTTTGTTTGTTTGTTTGTTTGTTTGTTTGCTTGTTTGCTTGTTTGCTTGTTTGCTTGTTTGCTTGTTTGCTTGTTTGTTGGTTGGTTGGTTGATTTTGTTTTGTTGGTGCTTGTTGTTTGTTTGTATGTTGGTTTTGTTTTTGTTTGTTTCTTTGTTGGTTGGTTGGTTGGTTGGTTGGTTTTGTTTTGTTTTTGTTGTTTGTTTGTTGGTTGGTTTGTTTGTTTGGTTGGTTGTTTGTTTGTTTGCTTGCTTTTTTGTTTGTTTGTTTGTTAGTTTGCCTGATTGCTTGTTTGATTGTTTGATTGTTTGTTTGTTTGTTTGTTCGTTTGTTTGTTTGTTTTGTTTGCTTGTTGGTTTCTTGGTTGCTTGGTTTGTTTGTTGGTTCTGTTCGTTTGGTGGCTTGTTTTCTTGAATTGCGCACAGCTGAAAGCTGCGGGGGTCTTTGCTCAGAGAAGTTCCGGCGTGTTTTGGAGCTGCTTGCTAGGGTTTCGGAAGTGGGCAAAGAGGGGGCGTTCGGTTGAGAATATCACCTGCTTGTCTTGTAAACGGAGGGCAATGTTTGTCAGGATTACTTTGTTTGGTTTAGGGCCGCGTACAAGAATCCGCTTCTTGTTTTGGAAGGCATAAGCCAAACATGTCCTCGCGTCGCTTCTGGGTTGTGAACGCCAATTGAAGACAAAGCGAAACTCACCCCGCGTCGTTGCAATTCATGCACAGTATAGTGACGGACATACACTTAGAAACAGTTTTGGAAATTTTCTTTTGGCGCCAGGTACTTTTTTCGTTTCTAAGTGCTGTCCCCAGCAGGTACCTTTCGTTTCTAAGTGTTGATCCGGACTGCTACAACCCAATTCAACACTTAGAAATGGTTTTCAACACTTAGAAACTGTTTTCAACACTTAGAAACGGTTTGCAGCACTAGCCCGACAGCTGTTTATGATCGTTCATGTGTTTCACGCCTTGTTTGATGGCCCCACCTTGCTCACACACGTGCTGACATGTATGGAGGATTGGTCATGTATACACACAAACAAGTCCAATTGGTCGACTCTTGGGGGGGGGGGGTTGGGGGAGGCGTTTCTAAGTGTTCACCCCCAGCTGATTTCAAGCTTCCGGCAACCCCAAGAAAGCACCGATGCCCCGAGGAGGAAGGTCTATCTATATACATATATATATATATACACATATATATATATATACACATATATGTAAGTATGTGTTGTATGTAAGTAAATCATGCCTTGCTCGCAAACGCACTGACATATAGGAATTTTTGGTCATGCACATACACAGACAAGCCCCATTGGTAGAATCTGGGGCGGGGGGGGAGGGTGGGGGGCGTTTCTAAGTGTTCACCCCCAGCTGATTTCAAGCTTCCGGCAACCCCAAGAAAACAGCGATCCCCCCATGACGAAGGTCTGTACATGTATAAATATATGTGTGCGTGTTTGTGTAAGTAGATCATGCCTTGCTCACACAGTGCTGACATGTATGGAGTACTGGTTACGGGGGTTCGGGGAGGCGTTTCTTTTTGTTCACCCCCAGCTGATTTCAAGCCTCCGGCAACCCCAAGAAAGCACCGATGCTCCCAGGATGAAGGTCTATATATAAATATGTGTGTGTTTGTGTAAGTAGATCATGCCTTGCTCACACAGTACTGACATGTATGGAGTATTGGTCATGTATACCCACAAACAAGTCCAATTGGTAGAATCTGGGGGGGGGGGGGAAGGGTTGGGGGAGGCGTTTCTAAGTGTTCACCAGCAGCGATGCCCCCATGACGAAGGTCTGTAGATATATATATATATATAAATATGTGTGCGTGTGTTTTTGTAAGTAGATCATGC